CTACATACAACCTCCCTCCCCATGCTACCCATCATCTTGCTAAGTTTTCGCCACTTCCTACTATTTCTCCTTTTTTCAAAAACTCCGCGTTTTCTCAGAAAACTGCCGTTGAGCGGGCGGCAGAGGGAGGGAGGTTGTATGTAGCGCCTGTGATCTGAAAAACCTTAGAAAAATCAACAGTCGCTCACTATTATAGAAAAGTTGGGCTAGTCTAGTCCGGCACCGAACTCGCCCGAAATGTGTGAAGTGGGTGTAAAGTTAACCGCGAGTCAGCAGGACCTATTTTACAGTAGAGCAACTGGAACGGGAAAAATCGACTTATCAGAAAGCTTCTAGTGCACCTAATACGACCAGAGCACGTCGTGCCGTAAAGGAAAATGCCTGCAAAATATGGAATTTTTCTATGGTGCTAGAATGGGGAGGAATACAACGCATTTGTAATAGGAAACACGAAGAAAAGTCAGCAACTGAGAATTTTTTTCAAGACAAGTACGACCTCCTCTCCGAGCTTGCCATAGATATCGTGAAATGCATCGTGAAATCTCCTCGCACGTAGAATTAACGCATTGGATCGCGGACCTCTATTAAACTCATGCCGAAAAAGGTAGTACGAAAAATGTAGTGCTCAAAGAAAATGTCATTCACGCCGCGACCAAGTTTGACCTTAATTACGTCGTGCTAGGAGCGCGAAGCGCGAACCCTTCACTAAGGTCATTCTATTCTTCTCTACGCTCGATATTCGCATAACAGGGTCGCGCCTGTGCCTCGTAACCCCCACTCTACCATTGATTTCATTCAATTCATAATGTGTTTTCGGAGAGTTGTTTGTTCAGAAGCCGCCTCATCCGAATGCTGCGGACAATCTGCATTGCACTCAATGTATCGGTGAAATTCAGACATTGTAATTGATGTGCACCGGCTGTAAAGTAGTATTGTTGTTGTAAATAACCTATAGGATCATTCTTCGCCTATGACTTTTCCCTACGGTCAAGCTGTGATATGGTTTTAGCCCTTCAAAAGAAGAATATTCCATTTTTGTGATGATGGCCTTGTATGTGGAACCTCGAAATTGTTTTGCGAGAGCCACCTTTCATAAGTTCTGGGCACTAATTACTGTTTAGAACCACACCCTTTGGTATTTCGATGGGATTTCTGCCAAATTTTGTCAGGGAAGTTGGCTATGGCTAGAAAAATGTAATTTGACTTCTGAACAAGAATGTCTCATCGGTTCAGCGCGAAAACTTTTGGAGCCAGCGGTACGCGCCGCTTTTCTCTGTCAGGCGGATGCGATGTTCAGGTTCAGGGAGTTAAATTCCGAAAACTGGGGTCTTAGAGACCAGTTAGTGCCGCTTTTCGTTGGGTTGCTTAATAATGCATAGGATTTCGAGGGAGTCACATACAGGGCCAGCTTCAATTATGCGGCTCCGAAAAATGAATTGAAAGCTGCTCTACCATCTCGGTGTTAGTGGTAGCGGTAACCAGAGAATTATGGTAGGTCCATTTGCCCTCTTGAAATGTGATCGTATCGTACGGAATGTGTTTTTGGCCGATATCTACCAGTCCCTCTATATAACTGCCACGGTTTTCTTTGAACAAAGCTACGGAGGTTCGTGAGCAGTGGGAGGGGCGGAAAAGAAGGAAAAAAATGCCAACTTTCAGTACTTATTTTGAGCGTAAACTGCCTCGATTGTGTCATCCTACCTTGTGTAGGACACAGCCTATTGCAGTTATCCCGAAACGGCAATTCCCACACTGGAAGCAGCTTTACGTTGGAAATATGTTGTAAAGGTATGCTTCCCCTTGAAACCTTCATAACA